TAATGCCTTTATCTCTCTAATCAAATATGTTTTTATTTTTTTTATATGTGTTTTTCATCCAAGAAACTAATTTCACTAGCAAAATTATTATGAATGGAGCAAGGAATATCGAATTAAATCTTACCCTAATTAAGAATGGATGTAATCATTTTTATAGAGTATGCTAGCAAAAGCCCATTTCGCATCAAGCACCTCATTGTCTTCTTATGCACACAAATCGTAAAGAATATGTAATAGAATGCGATCTAAGGCAATGAAAAAAAGTGTTAGAGAGAGAGAGAGAGAGCCCATTGCTGGTCTTCGAACATGCTACAATAGCTTGATTCCTTCCCCCCTTCCTAAGAAACAATGCTGGGTTTATTTTAAAAAATAAATAAATAAATTTACATACATGCACACATACACATATATTTATATTTTTCTTTTATTAAAATACTCAAAAACATTATAGTGTCAACCACATGTTGTGTTCTAATTAAGATAGAATGAAGAATAAATTTACACAGGCTGTCTTATAAATGGAACAAGTACTTAAGAAACTTGAGAAGTGTACTAGAAATTATTAAGTAAATGTAGATGTCAAATTGGTCGGTTAACTTGCCTGTTCCTTGCATCCACCTAATATCTCATCGTTAACCAACCTTTTGACCTATCAAGAGCAAGAGCATAGCTGGTTGATTTAGCTTGGTTTGATGGGTTCATCTAGAAACTCAAGGTTTGAAGCATATCTGAGTCAAGTTTTTAATTGAGTTAGATAAAAAATTAACCTGACAAAACTCGCTCGATTGGTCAATATAAATTAATTTTTTTAAAATAAAAAACAAAAAAATAAAAAGGTAGGTCTAGAGAATTGTGAGGGTTGATCCGAGCACCCCTAAATTAACTTTACTAATCCAATAATTCAATTATGATATTCTTTTCATGTTATGAATAACATTACCTATTAACTTAATAAGTAAGTGTGAATTGTAATCATGAATTTTTTTATGTATTTCTAGACGGCAATGATGCCAAGTGCGTGCAGATTTGATATGGGCCTTGAGAGTGATTTCATTGGTTGGGGGTATATTGGGCCTAAAAGCCTCTAATTCATGTTTGAAAGCCCAACATATTAAGTCTTTTACTTGTTATCCCTTTTTTCTGCTTGTCATTGTCCCTGATGTATAAATGCATGTATTAATATTTCATTTTATGTTTTAGCCTATTTTACTAAAATTATTATATATTTTAAGTTGGAGAAATTTATAAAATTTTAAATCAAAAGGTGTTTTGTAAAGGAAATCTTAGAAAACTTTAAACCGAAAACGTTGGGCATTTAATTTGAGATTTAGCAAAACAGTTTTTTAATTTCAAAATTATTTTCTTAAGAATAATTTGTTTGACATGCATCTTTGTACCAATATCCACCTGTAACTTAACTCAAACTAGGTTATTAGGGTAAAAATTGACATGGTTCAAACACAACCCTTTCAATCTAGTCAAAATCAAATTAATTCTTGATTTGATTTTTTAATTTAAAAAAACATTATTTTAACTTTAAAAATAACAATATTGTATTAACTGGAGTGGTTAAAACAGGTTTTATAAAAGCTTTGACTTGCTGAAGGCTGTTGATTTGATTGATCTTGTGATGTGCATATTTTAGTATTCGAAGAGACCTTGTATTGTCTGCTTGCATATTTTGAGTGGAAGCCTTGACTGGCTACATTTCTCTTCAAGACATTGATCTCTCACCCTCTTTGAGCCCATCGACTAATGCATGAAAATATATATATATATATATATATATATATAAAACCATCAGCCAAATTTTAGTTTTCCCAATTTTATGATAGAATTTTGCTATGCTCTTGTGAAAACGACATGGTTTTATGGAAGGGTTACTGTTCATTTTAAACAATAACATATTTCTTTGGTTTTATTTTTTTACAATTCGTCTTTTCACATTTTCTATCTCCAAAACTCTTTATTTTCTTTACAATTCGTCTTTTTACCCTTTCTTCTTCCCTTTCGAATAAATTTAAAGCAATTTTTTATATTTTTAAAACATAAAAACTCAAGAAAACATGTCTTCTTCTTTTTTTATTCCAACTATCTTTATTTATCTTATCACGAGACAATAATATATATTCTTTATTGGCGACTATATATATATATATATATATATATATATATATATATATATATATATATGAAAGAATATGCATTAATATTTAATACATACAAGGAAATGAAATTATCTTGATTTTTTTTTGAATTTTTAAGAAATATCTATGTAATTTGCACAGAAAATATATCCAAACCAACAGATCCCATTCAGCTGGAACCAGTAGCTCATAAATTTGCAAAATGGAAGAAATATATCACAATCTATCCTTTCATTACATTAATATCAACCAAACATGATTGTTCATACAACCTAATAAGTCAACCACATGCATGCCTGTTCTTTAATGCACGAAATCATCTTGTTTATGTTCACATTACATGCATCAAACCCCTTATTAATAAATTCAAGATGTGGTTTTCTCATTTTTACTTTGGAAAAAATTGAAGCGTCGTCGTCTCTTAAAAAAGTTATATTACACGAATAATGTATCTATCTTATGAAAATTCAATTACTTGAAATTTATATTGATATATCAATTTATATAAATATTTAATATAAAAGGTTTTTTTTCAAATTTTTTTCTTAAGAGAAAATTGGGTTTTTCAATTTTTATTATTCATTTGCTTTTAATTGAGTAATCTTGGAAACTAATCTTGGCACGCTTAGCAAAATTGATCTGCAAATCTCATCTCATTCAATTTTAATTGATTGTTATCTTAGTATATAGCTAAATTACAAATTGAAACAAGAATTGTGGTTTTATTGGGTTAATCCTAAATTAATTTAAATTTATAAAAAATATTTATTTTTTATTATTTTTTAAAAAATAATTAAATAATATCATTTTAGAAAAAAGTTATTTAAAATTGATAAAATCAAATCAAATCAAATCTAGATTTGATGAAATCAATTAGATTACTTATTAATTCATTGAATCATCTCATTTTAATCAATTCATTATCCATTTTAACTTTTTATTCAAAAATATTTGACTCGAATCATGAAGTTATGAGATCAATAAATCAACTTGTCAAATCAACATAACTTACTAACTATTAAATTTTATAAGGTGTTTTCAAAATTAAAAAACATCGAGATGGGGTTTTTCAAGTTGACGAGGTTACAAAAATTAGTGGAAATATTTTGAAATGAATTATTTTTAAAGATCCTTGTATATTATTCACTATATGTTCTACAACCTTCACTTCAAGACTACACTGATTTCTTCTTTAATTGATCTTTTTCGAAGTATTAATTTTTTTCTAAATAAATATATGTACAAAGTTCTCTAGAGATGTTGGTGAGGAATCCTTCAAATGTCAAGTTAGTATCAAGTTTTTTATGTAACAAAAAACATTAATTAAAATATTAACGAGGTTTTGTTGAAGAGAGAGAAATGGAAGAGAGAGAAGATGTAGAATTTAAGAAGAAAAGGTACAAAATGTGTTTTTTGGCTCTAAATATAAGATTCCAAACCCCTTTTAAAATATTTCATTTCTTTTTATTATTGATTGCCTTGACCTACTTCATATAACATAAAAGGGGTAAAGATCTAATCTTACAATAGTAAAATAACAATATTATATTACATGTCATATCTAATTAATATAAGCATAAATTGCTTGCTTATATTTAATAGGATATAATAAGTATCATAATTATTAACTCAAACTTAGAGTATGGAAGGCTTGGTGTGTAATAATTTTTTACCCATACATTAAATCTGAGAGATGTTGGACGTAATTTACGCCCGAAACCTAGGAGAAAACAAGGCGTAGATATATTTAGGTCTAATATATAGTTAGACATAAATACGTTCAAGTTCAACATTAAGTTGGATATCATCGTGTTCTGGTCTAATGTGTGATTGAGTACAGACGTGTCCGGATCCAATATAAAATTGGATACAATTAATTTTTTTTTTATGACTTTAAATTCTACACCACAAAAAACATAATTTCATCTCAGATTATAACTTTATTACATTATTTTTTAAATGAGTTTAATTTGAGAAATCACGGTCCATCAGTAGTTTAAAACACACATTAAATTAATACAGTAAGTACAAACTGAACTAGGAACGATAGTTTTCTCTTAATGATTAAACTATAACATAAAAAACTAGCTAATCAACCTCTCTATCACACATAATTAACAAATCCAAACAAATATGGAAGTGAGACAAAGAAGCACGACTCCGAAAAGGATGATGTAATAATTCCTCATACTTGCCAGGCAATGATGCTTTCCCAGCAACTCCTCCTCCTCTCAAGATGCAGCACGTGACCAGTCACGGTCCCAGGTAGAACAAAGCAATTGAAAACATGGATGGAAGAAGAAGGGAACCAAAAAAAAAAAAAAAAAAAGAGTAAAAAATCAATACTAATTTTCTTATTTCCAGCTAAGAAACTCCTAGCTACAGACGAAGATATAAGACAGATAATATTTATCTAAAATTATTTTATAAATAATGATAATTATATTGCATGATTTATTTAACTTTGTGACATTCTTATTATACATTTATTAATTCTTATATTTTACAATTATATTACTCTTTTTTATTTTATGATTAGGGATTTCTTAAATTGTTTTTTAACACATCAAGAACAAATTCGACTTTTCAATTAAATGAAAAAAAATATCTATAGAATCCATTTCAATATCCATAACCATTTTAATATATCTAAAAAGGGACAAGAAAAAAGAAAAGAAAAGGTAAGTACATAAACACTTTCTCATCATTAAATTCTTATGGTTGGTAATCATATTAATAATGATGACAATTAACCACTAATCTTAATTACCCTACTAATCAACCCCACCTATTTCCATACAATAAATAAATAAAATAAATAAATCTTTCCCCAAATCACAATCCCAATTCCCACCCACCAAAAAAAATAAAAACCCTAACAAAACACTATTCACAAACTCTCCTCTCAAAATCCCGAATTTACATGTAAAAAAAAGGGTGAAAAACACGAAAAAAATCCTTTGATTAATGCATGCAAACAACAACGAGTGTAGATGCATGTCGGCGGAATAACAGTGGATCTGAATTGGTTACTACAATTTATATTCACTGTTTTTGTGATTGGTTTGGGGTTGTTACACCTCGTTAAGAATACGGCGTCCAAGTATTTCGAAGTCGGCGCTAATTTCGAAGCAGCTGAGAGTAGCCACACTGCTATTGATCCAAATATTATTAATCAAGCCGAGGAAGCTGAAGAGGACTCTAGTATCTGTGGAAATTGTGGCGGTTTTGGGACTAAAAAGTGTTCTCGTTGCAAATCCGTGAGATATTGGTAAGTTTTTGGTGATTTCTTTGGGTTGTTGATTATTGGGTTCTGGTCAAGCTGCAATCTTTTTTGGGTTCTTTTGATGTTGGGAATCAATGGGTTTTTGTTATTTTTTTGGTTTTGCAGCTAAATTAGTGATTTGGAAGGTAATTTCAATGTGTTTTTGTGTAGCTTTATTGTAGTTACGGCTCCTTTTGGTGGTTTTTGAGGTTTTGTGTTTTCTTGGTTTTGTAGCCAAGTTAGTGATTTGTAGGGTAATTTCTTTATGTTTTTGCGTAGCTTAATTGTAGTTACGGTTCCTTTTAGCTAAATTAGTAATTTTAAGGGTGGTTAATTGTATTAGAATGAATTGAGTTTTTGTTTATATTAGTGATTCGTAGGGTAATGAACTCCCTGGTGATATATGGTTTGACATAATTATGCATGATTTAGCTTAATTAGTGGTTAAGGGGGTAATGAACTAACTAGTGACAGATGGTTTGTTGATAAAAGTGCAGTCTTTTTGGGGTGAAGGTGGCTTGTTAAACTTGGGAATTCTGGGTTTTTGCTCTTTTGGTTTTGTGAGCTTATTTTTTTATGGTTTTTTTGTTTAAATAGCTTAATTGATTTTGTAGGCAACTCATTGTGTTAGGAGTGCTATTGGCGGTTCACAAACACACACGCATATATATTTGTGGGTGGATGGGTGGGGTGCGTTTGGTTAAAAATGTGCTCTTTTGTATTTAAGGTGGTTTCTTAATCTTATAAATTACTGGGCTCATCCTCATTGGTTGGCTTAGTTATGCGTGGTTTAATTGGTTGTTCAAGCTTAAGTAGCCATTGTAGGGTAGAGATAGCATTGCAATGCTATAATAATAGACTATTATATAATGTGCTATTAGCTTTTATTGATTTTATGATGAAGGTTTATTATCTGTCTCATGTTTTTATTTTTCAGATGAAGGGTTTTTTAGTCTAATTTGGAAGTTTTTTTTTTGGGTTTACCTATCCTTTTAATTGAGTTTAATATGTGGGTTTTAGGTGCAGATTTCTTAAGTTTCTTTTTTTAGCATTAATCATATGGTTGTTCTTGTTTTCTTTTCCCCAGCTCACAGAGATGCCAAGCAGCAGACTGGAAGGCTGGCCATAAGTTAAAATGCAAGGATTTCAAATTAAATTCTTCACAAACAGTAAGATCAAACTTTGGTTTTAAACCTTCAGGTGGTGGGAGTAGAAGCTTTTCTAACGCTGCCCTTGTTCCTGCCAATGGAGTTTCTAACTGTAAGCCTATAAAGAAGCCGGGAAAGGTATATGTTTTAACCTTTTCTCATTTTTTTGTTCATTTAGATTATTTAGTGAATTCTTGTTCTGCATAGTGAAAACTTCAACACACTTAAATCTCAGGTTCTTTTCCCGTATGATGAGTTCATTAAACTTTACAACTCAGACAAGCCCGAATTCTCTCCCTGTGGGCTCTTAAATTGTGGAAACAGGTAAATGTTTGCAACCCCCGTACACCTTTATTTGTTCATTTGAACATAAACTATATATGGGCAGACACAAACATTTGCTAGTTGTGTTATGCTTTTCATTTGAGCATGTGCCATTTTTTATTCATTTATCCCCTCTCTCTCTTTTTTTTCCTTCACAGTTGCTTTGCCAACGTGGTTCTACAATGCCTCACATACACAAGGCCACTTGTTGCGTATTTGTTGAAGAAAGGTCATCAAACAGAATGTAAGTTCAGAAATTGGAATTTTATGTAGCCTTTTTGTTCTGCTTTTTTGGGGTAGTTTGGACAATTGTTCCCTCACAACTTTTCATATTTGTATCAGGTAGACATAATGATTGGTGTTTTCTTTGTGAATTCCAATCCCATGTTGAAAGAGCAAGCCAAAGCATGCTTCCCTTTTCACCAATAAATATTCTTTCTCGGTTACCTAATATTGGTGGTAATCTTGGCTATGGAAGACAGGAGGATGCTCATGAGTTCATGAGGTTCTTATTACTGGCCTTATCTGGTTTGCATATTCTGAGATAAACATCCCCGATCAGAAGAAAAGACACGACACACACCAAATATAATAAAACAGAAGAATCAGTTGAAGAAAGTGATTGACTAGAGAAGAAATTTTGGTTGTCTTTGATGCTATGCCCAGTTCAATACCATAAACCTTTCGTGTCTTTTCTGTAGGCTTGCTATTGATACTATGCAATCAGTATGCCTTGATGAATTTGGTGGAGAAAAGGCTGTTGAACCTGCCTCTCAAGAGACTACAATAATTCAACACATATTTGGGGGTCGCCTCCAATCTCAGGTCATGCATCCTGTTATACTGAAGCTGTTTGATTTTGTTCTTGTTTGTGAAAGCTTCTTTTCTCAGCATGCATTAACTGTATTGAATTCCACTTTTATGCCATTATCCAGAGCTTCTCATCCTTTTCTCTGTTATTAGTCATTACGAATAGGGAAAAAATAGAATTTGATGGACTTATCTGGTGCTGGATGCCATGTTACCAATCTTATTGGAAACGTAAAAAATCCCTGGATGATGCACCAAAGCCTTATTAAACCTGTTCCCAAACCCCAAATAATCTCTCAATTGATTAGAGGAGTCCTATCTCTAGTTTGGGATGCTGTCCTGACATGCTTTATATTCGTTAGGTGATATGCACAAAATGCAGTAAGATTTCAAATCAGTTTGAGAACATGATGGATTTAACTGTTGAGATTCATGGTGATGCTGCATCCTTGGAGGAATGCCTCGATCAATTCACAGACAAAGAGTGGCTTCATGGAGAAAATATGTACAAATGTGACAAGTATGGCTGCTTAATCCTGTGATTTCTGAATCCCAAAAGCTTAAATCATTTACTGTATTGATTCCATTTCTTCATCTCTTTTGTTTCATTATGCACACGGTCTTTAATTTTAATAATTATTTTTTAATCTTCAACCTTTTATTTTAAGCAACTACTAGAAATTCAGTCCTCTCGGATTCTTCCACCCTTGCTATGACTGTATGAGCAATTTTAAATTATGGAGGTAGTTGCATTTTAAATTGAAATATTGATATGCTTTAGAACTGAATGGAGGAAGCAGATGCATGTATCTTGCTCCAGCTAGTTTGGGATATGAATCTCGAGTTGGTTTTATTTTTTTTCCTGGATGGTGACTGGGGTTTGTTGGTTTCAGCAAATCTTTCTCCCCTTGCATTTTGAGCTAAGATAGGCAGAGGGATGGTAGATGTTGAATATGGACCAGTGGTGCATTATTTACTATCCAATTCTTCCTTCTCTAGTCATTCCTTGGTCCGGGACTTGGAATATTCTCTTAAAGAGGGAAAATGTGTGCATATTGGTTATTTAATTTTCATTTTTACTCTAGCATATTTAACATGAACAATATAATTGCCTCACTGAACATTCAACATATTCTACTCGCTGTGGCCAAATATGGCTTCCATGAACTTGTGGACTGAAAATTACTTCTAGTTCTAAGCATGTGGTCTCTAAATATCTGCTTAAAATATGGCCCCAGATCAGAAAGAATGAAATAATGATTAGTCCAGCCAACTCCAACTAGTTTGGCATGATGCCTTGATGGTTTAATAATTGAAAGTGAAATATGCCTTGCCATGAAATTTATCTTTTTTTCATACTAGTTTGTCAATATAATTGGAACCCAGCAGGTTCTAATAGAACAAGGCTACCAATAAAATGGATCACAAGTCTGCATTTAATATCTTTTGATGTTTGCATCTGTTCTGATTTAAGGTACAATTTTAAACTTTGTATAGGTGCAATGACTATGTCAAGGCATCGAAGAGTCTTACCATTCAACGAGCTCCAAATGTTCTTACAATCGCTTTAAAGAGATTCCAGGTCCGATTTGTTTACATGCGATGGATATCTCTGCTGCTGTATTATCTTTCTGAATCTAAACTACCGTTTCTGTGAAAATCAATTATTTTGCTATATTCTAGTTCTAGAGGTTTTTATAACTTCTGAAATCATGTGGACATAACTTTTCAGAGTGGGAGGTTTGGTAAACTTAACAAAAGGGTAACTTTTCCTGAGATGTTAGATCTGAGCCCCTACATGAGTGAAGGAGGAGATGGCACTGATGTGTACAAGCTTTATGCAGTTGCTGTCCATGTGGATATGCTAAATGCATCATTTTTTGGTCATTACATCTGCTACACCAAGGATTTCCATGGAAACTGGCACAGAATTGATGACTGCAAGGTAGGAAACCACCCCCACCCCCCCACCCCACCCCCCCAAAAAAAAAATCTATTTGCACTTCTAAACAGATCTACCATCTACAGCTTGTGAGGATTGGTGGCCTTATTTTTTAAAATCATAATGTGAAACTTGTTTTTTTTTTTTTATAATTTAAATCTAGTGTAAGAAATGATTTTCTGCTTTGGAAAATTGCTATGCCAGAATCCTATGTCCCATCATTATTACATGAAATGAAAACAGCTCAATTGTCACGCTCAATCTACATTGACTCATTTTTCTCTAACTGCAGTTCTGCTTTCTCCCAGGTTTCTAGTGTTGAATTAGACGAGGTACTTTCTCAGGGCGCATATATGCTTGTGTACAGCAGGTATACAGACTAATGCCTGATGGTGGATATTGACTACCATCCAATCTCAATTTTATCTATGACCTTCACAACATTTGCTTTGCTTATATACAGTTACAGTATTTAGCATGCTATAACCAAGTTGCAGGCAAATTAGATACTTGAACATTCATTGCATACATTTCGATAGGATGGCATAAAAACTTGATGGTATGAGTACTTGAGGAAAATATAAGCATAAAATGGTGGATTTTATTTTCTTATTTTATGTTTAAGCAATGTTGAAATTTCTGGTTTCCTTGTTAGAAACATTTATATAAGCAGGATGCACATGTCAGAACACTTACACAGCAGAAGGAGACTTTGAATTTGTTTATCTGAATTGCGGCATACAAGCATCGGCTGTTCAACTGCAGTGTGTGTCTATATATGTATATATTTTAAGTTCTTTCTGGCTCTGCTCTGAAGATTGTATTTGCCTGATGTTGGGCAGGGTTTCTGTTCGACCATCATGTCTCAGAACCATTGAGCCTTCAAAGGAGCAGCAATCAATCATGAAAGTAGAACTAGATTCTTGCACAGAGAATCCAGTTGAACACCTTTCACTGATGGAGTCGATGGATGCCACGAATTCTGGGTTCCCAGCACCTGAAAATGAAAATTCTGAAGTTGGAAGTGAACATCACGAGTCAGGGACTGGTAATGAAGATCCTGACGATATGATTGGAGTTGATTACTGCTCAAGTTTATCCATTCCAGTGGGGGTTTCTGGCCGCAAGAAGGCTTCCGCTGCTGCACTTGATTCAGAAGCTGTTGTGATAGAGCACTCCATGGACTATACAGATACAGTCATGTCTGAATCAGATTCTGCTGTTGCGAAGGATATCAAAGTAAATGGCAGTATTTATTCATTCTCGAGTGAAGAGATTTCCACATAACCTAATAATTTGAAAAGTCAACCACCATTCCACGATTTGGACAGCGAGGACACGGCGCAACTGAAGCTAAAAGAGCAATAGTAGATAGTTATTGATGATAATAATGCTTTATCAATCTCTAATTAATCGTTCATATTTTTTAAACAATCCCCATTCATCGAAGGAAAATTTGAGTTGGGCATTTTTATCCGGGGTTTCATTATTTGCAGAAATCTCAGATTCTATTTGTAACGGTTCTAGTTATGACGAAGCCTCACCTTCCTTCAAATGACAGTATGAGGATGTCATTGCTTCATGAGCAGGAATGTTTCGTTTATAGTCTACTCCATAATGTAAGTTGCCAAGAAATTCTAGTCCAAGGATAGCAAGTGATAGGTTGTTTAATTTGTTAGTGTACCACTACAGCATGACATCCTACTCTAGGGATATAAATTTTCTGGCTGTGTCAAGAACAAGCCAGAAGGGTCACTGTGATTGATTGATAACTTGTACATGTACAGAACTTGAACTGGTCTGGAGCTGCAGAGAATGCTGTCATGTGAACAGTGGAGATGCTTACATTAATTGATTGATGGGGCTTCGCTACTTGTTATTGCGAGATTTTTTATTTTTTTATTCATGTGGGATGCACGAGTTAATTTATATGTATCTTGACTGTAAAATCTTTACAGGTCCTCGATTAATTTCTACTGTCCTAGTGTTAATACGAGATTCTTACATCTATTAAGGTTATCCTTTGATCGGTAGTGTTGAAATCTCCTCGTGTCTAGGGTGGTTAAAAAGTGTGAGGAATGGGTTTGTTTTTTTTGTGTGTTTTTTTTTTTGTTTTTGAATTTCTAATTGGATCTGATCAATTCCAAGTAAGTGATTTGGCCCAACTCAAAATTCAGTTCTTGAGTTTATTGTGTTGGCTTAAATCAAATTCAAACGTCTGTTTTGTAGATTAGTTAGTGCAGTTCTTGAGTTTATTGTGTTGGCTTAAATCAAATTCAACCGTCTGTGTTATGGATTTGTTAGGTAAACTTAGATTAAACTTAATAATATTGTTTTATTTATTTTTAAATGAAATGATATTGTTTTAAATAATTTTTTTTAAATAAAACAATGTAGTTTTTTAAACAAAAATAAAAATTCTTCAATTTAATCTGATAAAACCAAGTTTAATAACTATATTTTATATTTATAATGATGTACCAAGTTTAATAATTAGAGCCCAAAATTTTTAATGAAATTATAGATATATTTTATATTTTTAGATTGTTTTGTTGTGCTATATAAAAATAATTTTTTAAAAATAAAATAAAAATCATTTTAATACTTCTTAATAAAAGACATTTTAAATTCCAATCAATATCACAATCTTAAAAAAACTTTTAACAAAATATGTATAATAGATTTTTTAATATATATATATATATTATTTTCATTAACACCGTAAGCCTAAAACTTCGAAGTCCTATAAGTATGAACCTTTTTTTTACTGGATTAAAAAATGACATTTTACTCCCAATACAAGAAAGTTGGTCCAAAATTACTAAATAGTAATCATGATAACGGTAAAGGGATTATTTAGAGTAGAATCAATAGTTATGTGAAGTGGTTAGCATCTTAGACCGTTTATCTTGAAAATAGAAGATCCAAAAGTGGAAAAACAGGAACCAGCAAGCAAGCAAAACCATTTCTCTCTCTCTTTTTTTTTTTCTATATTTTTTAATACAGCAAAACCACTCACAAAAACCTCTTTCACTTGATCCAAGAACCCATAAAAAAGGATTCTTTTTTGTTACTATAATGTAAAGGGAGTTTGTTTTTAGCAAGGTTATTGATTTTTAATGATGTCCCAGATTCCAGTTATGTTTTTTTATTTATTTTTGCTTCTAAAGTTTGATGCTTTTTATTTGATTAGTTTGCAGGGCTTTGTTTTGTTTCTGATTTTGGGAAATTGTTGGGATTTGTTTGACTCAATTGACAGCAATGGAAAATCGCAGTGAAGCAGGAGCGAGTCCTTATAAGAGGTACTTGTGTTATTATTGAGTTCTTAATCCAAAACCTATTAATGCATGCATGTAATGCTTATTCACATTTCGTTATCTGATTGATTTGTTTGAAGGCATTTTAATGAATTTGATGATTGTATGTGAATGAATGAATGTAGTTTGGTTGCGGCCGTGTCATATGGAATTGCTTCAATGGCTATGGTTTTTATCAATAAGGCCGTTTTGATGCAATATGGTCACTCAATGACCCTTCTCACTTTGCAGGTATTGAATTTTTTGAATTTGAAAAATATTTCATGTTGCGTTGTCAATCCCACTTGATGATGAGTTTTGAAGATTTTTAGACTTGTTGTTCTAATGTGTGTTTTCGGTGATTATGATTACGATTACTGATAAATGATGTTGTTATTGTTTGACTCTTGTTGGTTGGTTGGATGGTTGGTGGTTGGTTGGTTGGATTAGCAATCGGCGACAGCATTGCTTATACATTTTGGTAGACGAACAGGGTATACGAGAGCGAGGGGAGTTGATATGCAAACAGCTAAAAGACTTCTCCCAGTTTCGCTGTTCTACAATGCTAATGTAGCTTTTGCTTTGGCTAGCTTGAAAGGAGTTAATATTCCTATGTATATTGCAATGAAAAGACTCACACCGCTTGCGGTACTTATAGCTGGAATTTTCTCAGGAAAGGGAAAGCCTACAACACAGGTCTGTGCTGCTACTCATTGAGCTAGTTTTCACTGAATGCTTACCCTTTTTGTTTGTAACATATGTAAGATATACATGGGACTCTGCTTTGCCAGTGTTTTATTTTAGATTTAGAGTGTGTGTACTTGGACTGGTAAAGTTAATGGTATTGACAGAAGGATCAATAATTCACATTCCCGATTCTTGAATTTTGAGATTTCATAAATGAAGGAGAAGCTTGCTGTTCAATTAACAGATACATGTTACTAAAAGACCAATTTTTATTTATATGCCCATAATCTAGTTATCAACCCTTTGAATCCTTGAAGGCATCTCCTTGACTAGTATCTTGAGTATAGGATGCTCCTTCACTATGACACTTTTGCATCATATTTCAGGTTACTCTTTCCGTGCTATTGATTGCTGCTGGAGTTATTATAGCAGCACTTGGAGATTTTTCATTTGACCTTTTGGGATACGGCATGGCCCTTACTTCTGTTTTCTTTCAGGTTGGTTATTAATTCCATAATTTCCAAGGAATGTGAATAATACAGCGTGATGATGCTTGCTTGTTTACTAATAGTAGTTGTGCTTTGAAAGTGCAGACAATGTACCTTGTGTTAGTTGAGAGATCTGGTGCAGAGGATGGCCTCTCTTCAGTTGAGATAATGTTCTACAACAGCTTTTTGTCTCTTCCATTCTTGATATTTCTCATCATAATTACTGGGGAATTTCCAAACTCTTTAGCATTATTGTTTGCAAAGGTCAGAATCTTAACCCTTCATATTTAGACTCAAATTATTGATTGTGCTAGAAACAAATGGCGTGCTGAAGTTCTGAAACTTGTTCAGAGCAAGCTAGAATGCTATTCTTGTTTGCTTATGTTGGCTCTTCTCATAATTGTTTACAAATGGAGCTTTGAATTAATAATTGATAGTCAAAACCTTTTTATGCAGCACCAAAAACCTTTTCTATGACTTCAAATTTTTCTATCAGAGTCTGGATTTTACAGTTAGGCAGTTAACATCTTTGAAGTTCAGTCTAATTTATGTTACTGTAGGAGCTTATATCTTACCAGGAGAATCTTGTATTCCAATTCAGATTTTTATGTCAATGGTAGAACACCATTGATCAAATATGTTTCAGTGTGCAGTCAGTTATTTGAGTTTTATTATTTTCTTATTTGAGTTTTTCTTATTTTCCTTTTAATTGGTATCCCAACTGAAGTATTAAACAGGTTGATGTCATGTTATATTGGTATCCTGCATTTCATAATTTTCCATTTGGGATTGTTGATTGATGCCTTTTGGAATAGTCTGGTTCCTGAAATCAGGAAAGTGTAATACTTGGCCATTTCAGAATGATCTTAACATCTTGAACATCTAAAACCTCCTTTTTTTGTAGGGCAGGGCAAGGGTATCGATTATTTATTAGGGAAACTAGGTCTGATTTCTGTAGAGGGGTGGGTTGAGGGTGTTGATAGCTTATTGGAATGCAAAGTTTGATTCATGCTATAAACACCCTCTTGAGACCTTGACCTCTCCAACTTGTGATAAATTTAAGTGACAGTTTTAGTTGTCATATTATCATTTATATTCCCTCAATTTATGAACAGTATCGGGCTACTGACCTTGTTATGTTGAATATCAAGTGCTGTTCTATCACGAGTGCAGCCCCAGCAAGGAGATGCCTCGGAAAATTGCACAGTTACTGCAACTTTGATACTGTCTGGTCCATCCTGGACTATTCTATGATTAGACTTTTCTCATTGCTTCAAGTTGATGTTTTCTGGTGTATCCATAAAACTCAATGCCTCCACATGCATGTGCCTTGTTTTAAGTCTGAATTATTGTCTTGCCTCTTCATATGGTATTAGTATTGGTCAATCTTTTTAACCAGATCATGAATTTTTTTGAAAAAATTGTGGCAATAAAAAAGATTTCTATAAAGTGCAGTGATGATTCAAACTTCATTTTTCCTCTACAAAGTGCTGCATTTTGCTCTTCATGATTTCTAACTTGAAATCTGTTTTTTATGGCAGAGTAATTCCTTATCATTTTTGGTGATCCTTGTTATTTCATTAATAATGGGCATAGTTCTCAACTTCACCATGTTCTTATGTACCGTAGTCAACTCAGCTCTAACAACAACCATTGTGGGAGTCCTCAAAGGTGTTGGGTCCACGGTATGTGCATATAACCCTTCTAGTCTATCATAGAGAATCTATAAGAAGAAAACAAAAAACTTGGAGTTTTATCATTTAAACCAAATTGTTTGTGGGTTTTTTCAGTTACCCTCATCTTTTTCAGACCATTAGTCAAGTTTTGCTAAATGCTAAGTGCATTAAGTTTCCTTTTCCTTTTCTGCTCAGACCCTTGGTTTTGTCCTCCTTGGTGGTGTGGAAGTGCATGCTTTGAACGTGACTGGATTGGTTATCAACACAGCGGGTGGTTTGTGGTACTCATATGCCAAATACCAGCAAAAGATGAGTAAACCTCCAAAGAGAATATCAGATGTAGAGGCTCGTAGCAAATAAGTCCGCTTTTGAGGATCACTACTGGTGATGAGTTGCTGCTTCAGCCGGTTCCTTATCTGATTTCTTGTCAATTTGCCTACACTGTATAATTCACAATGATCTCATAGTAACAACCAAAAGGAGTGGAAAATGAAGTATAGCGATAACTTTTTGTTCTTAAAGAATATTCAACTCTATAGCATATCCTTGCTTCGAACACTCTTCATTTCGTTCGGAGAAGATGTCGAAGTCTAGATGGTTAATCCTGTCCGCTGATTTAGATTGAACTTGTGCTTGAAACTGATGCTTATGCCACAGAATATTGTTCAAAAGTTTTAATACTGTGAAATCAAAAGCTTCTCTTAGCTCATTT